ATAATGTTTGTTTCATCGTCGTAAATTCAAAGTGAAATATAGCATTTTACGACTAACATACATAGTATTAATTTGATAATACAACTAAAAATAATAATAATAATAATAATAATAATAATAATTTATAATTATATATACAAATGATATATTATTTTGAATTTGAACTTGTCTATATTTGTTCCAAATTTACCCTTTACTTGTCCCTCTAAACTCAACCGCATATGATTTTTGATGTGTGTGTGTGTGTGTGTGTGTGTGTGTGTGAGAGAGAGAGAGAGAGAGAGAGAGAGAGAGATTTTATTTTCAATAATAATAAATTCCTCAGATGAAGACCTATGGCGAATGATCTCCCATAGGTCTTCATTTTCGCGCTGAGTTTTGATCAAGGCATACTTCAATTCTTCCCTAATCACGGGGACTTCTGGCTCCATTGTTATCCCATAACCATGAGTGTAAAACATTGTCAAAGTTATCTCTTTTGACAAAAGTAGATAAGCTCTAGTAGTCAAACAACTTATATTATCTACTACGGTCATCCCTTGGATGTGAGGGTGCCTCCAAGCATAGCTGGCTCGGGCTTCTAATTCTCGATTGCTACCTGTTTCACAAAAGCAGGGTCTTAGCAAATTTGGCTCGGGCTCCGGCCCGGTTGGATACCCATGCTGACGTTGAGCAAGAATTGGGTTGTAGCTGATAACACCTCTTGTTCCCATGAGGGGTACGTTGGGGAAGTCCCCACAGCTATGGATTATGGCTATACCACCGAGCCTGGGATTGTACCAAGTGATATCATAATGGTTGAGAGTGATTAACTTTTCAATCCATGCATCCTTGCTATAGAGGTTCCAGAGAACGTGAGTTTTGGGCAAATGGGAAGTGAATCATCTGTTGAGCAATGCGGTACAACATGAGAACTGTCTGAGATCATATAATGTATGGCGGTGGATGACAACGCAAGTGTCTGTTAGTATTTCACTCACAGGATTTTTGTAATGAAGAGACGAATAGCCTCCTTGCTGATGAACTCATTACAGCTTGGAAAGAGATACAAGTCGTATATCAAGAATGCCAAGATTACCTCGAAAATACCCAAATTTCTATTCTCATAGTGAAATTCATCCATATCCATTAATGGCCTTGCCTCCATTCCATAGAAGCCTCCTTTTGCTCTTATGGTAGGTAATTCTTTCGACCTAAGGTGTAATGCTTTAGCTAGGTCTCTTCTTCTCGGTTTCCCATAAGGAGCCTTGATGGTTAGCAGAATCTTTAGATAATCAGAATATTCTTCTATGGTTGGAAGTAATTGGAAATTCGGGAAGATAAAGCAATGGTATACCGGATCATAAAACTCAACGAGGGCATGCAACATGCATCCATCAATTTGAGTGTTAAGTAACGACAAAAGATCTCCATATTTTGCGATGAATGCGGCGGGATTCCTTATAAGGCCTGCCAGGATCTGGAGGGATGATCACTTGTTGTGCTCCTTTATTATACAAGTGGTTTATTTTATATTTGCCTAAAGCTAACACTTTTTGGGATCTGAAGGAAGGTTGGTGGTCACAGAAGATCATGGCTCTCACTCACTCTGACAATAAGTGACCATCCCTCAAGATCTTGGCAGGCCTTGTTAGTAATCCATCCGCATTCATCGCAAAATATGGATATCTTCTGCCGTTACTTAACACTCAAATTGATGGGTGCATGTTGCATGCCCTTGTTGAGTTTTATGATTCGGTATACCATTGTTTTATCTTCCTGGATTTCCAATTACTTCCAACCATAGAAGAATAATCTGATTATCTGAAGATTCCGCTAACCATCAAGGCTCCTTATGGGAAACCGAGAAGAAGAGACCTAGCCAAAGCATTACACCTTAGGCCAGAAAAATTACCTACCATGAGAGAAAAAGGAGGCTTCTATGGAATGGAGGCAAGGTCATTAATGGAAATGTATGAATTTCACTATAAGAATAGAAATTTGGGTATTTTCGAGGAAATCTTGGCATTCTTGATATACGGCTTGTATCTCTTTCCAAGATGTAATGAGTTCTTGATATACTCTCAGTGGTATAGCCATAATCCATAGCTGTGGGGACTTCCCCAACGTACCCCTCATGGGAACAAGAGGTGTTATCAGCTACAACCCAATTCTTGCTCAACGTCAGCATGGGTATCCAACCGGGCCGGAGCCCGAGCCAAATTTGCTAAGACCCTGCTTTTGTGAAACAGGTAGCAATCGAGAATTAGAAGCCCGAGCCAGCTATGCTTGGAGGCACCCTCACATCCAAGGGATGACCGTAGTAGATAATATAAGTTGTTTGACTACTAGAGCTTATCTACTTTGGTCATAAGAGATAGCTTTGACAATGTTTTACACTCATGATTATGAGATAACAATGGAGCCAGAAGTCCTTGTGATTAGGGAAGAATTGAAGTATGCCTTGATTAAAACTCGGCGCAAAAATGACGACCTATGGGAGATTATTCGCCATAGGTCTTCATAAGAGCACGTAATTTATTATCTAAGCAAGAAGTTCATAGATTGCAAGAGTCGTTACTCCCCGCTAGAAAAAGCATGTTGTGCTTTAGCATGGGCTGCCAAGCGTCTAAAACAGTATATGATCTGCCATAATACCATGCTGATTTCTAAGATAGACCTAATAAAGTACATCTTCGAAAAACCAACTCAAACTGGAAGGTTGGTCAGATGGCATATGCTCTTGTCATAGTATGATATCCAATATGTTGCTCAAAAGTCCATCAAAGGCAGTGTCTTGTCAGAACACCTTGCAGAGCATCCCGTAGAAGATTATCAGTCACTCAAGTTTGAGTTCCCTGATGAAGATGTGATGTACATTCAACGCATGAAACCAGAGCCTGGTCCTGAAGAAGGTCATGAGCCTGGATCCCGGTGGGAATGATGTTCGATGGAGCGTCAAACAAAAATGGACATGGTATTGGAGCTGTTTTAAAAAATAACCGGATGGTATACTGCCGTCACAGCCTGACTTTATTTCTCATGTACTAATAACATAGCCGAGTACGAAGCCTATATCTTAGGGTAGAAGTTGCCATTGATCTCCGTATCAAAATCCTGGAAGTAATCGGTGATTCTGCTTTGGTGATCTATCAACTCAAAGAAGAATGGGAAATTCGAGATGAAAAGTTGATCCCTTACAAAGCTCACATCCTAGAGATGGTCGAATACTTCGACGAAGTTACTTTCAAGCATGTGCCAAGAGCAGAAAATCACATCACTAATGCTCTAGCCATGATGGCATCAATGTGGAAGGTCCTGTTTATTAAAGAGGTGCCTCTGATTCGCATTGAGAGAAGAACAATGCCAGCATACGTCATGACAATAGAAGAAGAATCTGATGAGAAACCTTGGTTCCATGACATCAAGAACTTTCTTCAAAATCAGGAATATTCGGTTGATGCATCCAGAATTGACAAAAGAGTCATACGAAGATTGTCATCTAAGTTCTTCATCAGCAACGACATCATATACAAAAGAAACCATGACATGGTTCTACTCATATACGTCGATGAAAAAGAGGCAAGTCTCATAATGACTGAAGTGCACGAAGGAGCATTCGGTACTCATGCTAATGGCCACACCATGGCGAAGAAGATTTTAAGAGCTGGCTATTTCTGGTTGACTTTAGAGACTGACTGCATCCTCTTCGCTCGAAAGTGCCACAAATGTTAGGTTTATACTGACAAAGTACATGTTCCTCCACATCCTCTCAATGTGATGACATTGCCATGGCCATTCGCAATGTGGGGCATAGACATGATTGGGACAATAGAACCAAAAGCTTCCAACGGTCATCGCTTTGTCCTCGTTGTTATTGATTACTTCACCAAATGGGTAGAAGCAGCGTCTTATGCGAATGTAACAAAACAAGTGGTGGCCCGTTTCATCAAAAAGGAAATCATCTGCCGATATGGTATCCCTGACCAGATCATCACCGACAATAGGTCAAATCTGAACAACAAAACAATGAAGGAACTTTGTGATGACTTCAAGATCAAGCATCACAATTCGTCTCCTTACAGACCCAATATGAATGGCGCAGTCGAGGCTGCAAACAAGAATATCAAGAAGATAATACAGAAGATGGTCGTTACTTACAAAGATTTGCATGAGATGTTACCATTTGCTTTACATGGATACCGAATATCAGTGCGAACTTCAACAGAGGCAACTCCATTTCCCTTGGTGTATGGGATGGACGATGTGCTACCCATCGAGGTCAAGATACCCTCTTTGAAGATCCTAATGGAAGTGGAGCTCGAAGAGGATGAATGGATAAAAGAAAGGTTTGATTCATCGAACCTCATCGATGAGAAAAGGATGACGGCCATGTGCCATAGCCAGATCTATCAACAAAGGATGATAAGAGCGTTCAACAAGAAATTTCGTCTTAAAGAGTATAAATAAGGAGAGCTGGTGCTCAAAAAAATCCTACCAACGCAGAAGGATATGCGCGGCAAGTGGATGCCCAACTACGATGGCCCTTTCGTTGTAAAGACCGTCTTCTTCGGAGGATCTCTAATTCTTGAGACCATGGACGACGAACAACTTAAGTACCCTATCAATTCAGATGTAGTGAGAAAGTACTACGCCTAAAATGGAAAGCCTAGAAAGGTGATTCGAGCACTTCAGCAAGACGGAAGTCTGAAGATTAAAACCAACCAATGCAGGGGCAAAGCCTTGTGCAAGGTGTTAAAGGAAAATCAACGTCTGTCATTCTCGTCAGAAACAACGAAGTGTATGGACTGCTAGCGAGAGAGAGAGAGAGAGAGAGAGAGAGAGAGAGAGAGAGAGAGAGAGAGAGAGAGAGAGAGAGAGAGAGAGAGAGAGAGATTTTATTTTCAATAATAATAACAACAATTTTACAATAAAAAAATCATTTTAAACCAGTTTTATTTAATGACGTGGTATTTATTATGAAACGAATAAAGTAATATGTAATCGTAAAGGTTACTAACCAGGGGAGGAAAATAAAATAGAGGACCTGCGTTTAAAGCAGGCCAATGACCATCATTAGATTGAAGAGTTGATAGGTGATGAACAGCTCTTCTCAATGTAATTGCAACTTTTTCTTCAGATATCTCCTCGTCATCTTTGATCTTTACACTTTCTATTGTTTGTTTAAAATTCTTTTCTTTCAGAATCTAAGTATGCAGAAACAAACATGGAGAATGTAATATATCAATTTATTGATGACACGTATACATATAAGATTAAAATTTATCAAATTAATTGATAATTTATTTACATGATCTTACACATTAAATAAATTTTATAGCAAATTTAGTATTTTTAAAATAATATTTTATTATTTTATTTAAAGTTTTAAGGATGAAAGATACAACTTTTTCACCTAAATAACCTACCTTTTCAAATAAGAGCATTGATATTTCTTACCAAAAAAACCAACAACAAACTGCAAGAATACACATGACAATTTAATATTAATAAATATACATGGTTGTGTGGTTATGTGACAGTAAGAAATAGAAAACAAAACATGGGTGGGTAGCTACTAAACTAATCAACTTTGAAAAAAAAATTTAGACATTAATTCAATCTAACGATGACAATTCAATTGACTGCATGTACAACAGAGAAGAGAGAGTGTACGATAATAGAATAAAAATTTGGTCTCTCTATCATTTTTGTATTTAAAATGGTTGGCATAGTCATTTATGTGATAAATTATCATCAAGATTTTTTTAGAGTTTTAAAGATAAAAAATAGTGTTAATAATACTTTTCCCTTGTCTTTTGAGATTTCACCATTATAATAGTCTTACACTATAAGCTAAAAATCAAATGATGTAGAAACTCTCTCCATGTGAATGGGAGAAAGAACTCATCCAAATTGCAAAGGGCAATATTGGACCCATTAGGGCAAAAACTAAAAGGTAGTACTATATTACAAAGTTGCATTCGTAAAAAAGTACCATAAAAAAATTAAAACTCTTCCGATAGGACAAAAAGTACCTTTAATCTTAAAAAAATATAAGTTACATATAACATTAAAAATAAAAAGGATATTTCATCAATTTTTTAATGCAAAAAGTGAAAAGAGGGGAAAAAACTTTTAAATTACATGTTATTAAAATGGATACGCCATCTATTTTAAATATAAAAATGTAAGAAATATGATCAAATTGTTTGAATTTGAAATAGAAATACTAGTCATATGAATGAGTTAAATCAATTAAATATTTAAAAAATAAATAAAACCCAATAAATAATAGACTAATTTAATATATCATAAAATAAAATAACTATTTAAAATTATGTATGCATCTTTATTAGATTTCAAAGCAAAAAATATTGGAACTGAACCCAAATGATTTTTACAAAAGTAAATGATAAAGAATATGATGAGTATGAAAGATGATAAAGAAGATGAAGAATATGAAAGACAACAAATAATATTATTCAATTTTAAATATTTATCCTTAAAGATCAATATAATTGATTAACTTATTTAAAGAAATATTTATTAATTATAAAATTAATATAAAATAAATAATTATGTTAAGAGATTAAAAAGGAATTGCTCCAAATGACCAACATTTCTTCTCATATTTTTGTCAGAGTTGATAAACATCTACAATCATGTGAACTTATGCATGTAGGGTCCTATATATTTGAAATGTGTGGTCCTTTGTGCGTACTAGGGAATGATTCTCTAGTAGTAATAACTAAATTTGTTTTCTCCTTGCATTTATTTTAATTTATTTATCAAATATAATTAACTCTGCTCAGATTGGTAGTTGGGTATATATAGCTACCAGTATCAGACTCATAACATCCTACTTGTTTGTTTATTTTTAAAGAATAAATTTCAACTATTAAACTATTTAAAAATTATAACAAAATTAATCATTTAACTTGTTACACTAATAAGGTCTCTTCTGTTAACTTATAGAGAAAAAAATATTAAATAATAATCACATGGATGAACAACAAGATTCAAGGTTTAAATGTTGTACTATAAAATAATGTTTTTACTTGAGTTTTTTAAAAACAAATAATATTCTGAGAAATTTATGTGAAAATTCTACTTTATAAGAGCAACTTTAGTGCAAGGTTGTTAAATCAAAATTCTTTATAGCTTACGTTAATAATAAGGAATTTGCATTATAGTAATGCTGACATGGCATATGGAATGCTCTAAAACTAGTTTACGGTGCTCTACACAAGCAACGTACTCTAACTCATTATTTAACATAAATAATAGATTTTTATTAATTATTTAACATAAATAATAAATTTTTATTAACCATTTAATACCATGTGGGGTCAAGTTTTGGTTTATTATAGACAACCAAAGTAAAAACTACTCAAATCAACTTTAAATTTTTTAAATCCTACAAATCACTTTGGACCCACAAAAAGTATCTTAGTTTATCCATTTAATTTACTCTCGCTAAAGATGCTCTAATACAAACTCTGAGTCACATTCAGGCCTTAAACCCTAATACAGATTCAAATCACGGTATTTTAATAAAATTAAAAGATTAACTTATAACGTTTTTTTAATTAAATACTTAAAGTATTAAGGGGTTTGAGAATTAAATATGAAAAAAAAAACCTAAAGATGGCTTCTCTCTGTCATTGATAGAGGCACCATTTTGTCTATATGAGAGATAGTTACCTGAAAACGCCAAAGAAGGTCACTGCATGCCTTAACCTTGAAACGGTTATCATAGAAATGTTGACGAGCAGCTTCAACTTGAGCTCTCTCCTGAGAAGTCCCAGCATCAGGATCAAACTCCCATGTCTGTCTCCCTACAAACTCATTTGTGCTGAATATGTACGGATTCTTCCCACCATCTCCTATCTTCAGCTTCCACATCTTATTTTATGTCTGTTATACTATCTCTTCACTTTAATTTATATACACCAAGTTTCAGCATATAATATATTTTAGGCAAAAGAAACACGTAACAAATATAAAAGAGGCAAAAGACACACGTAATAAATATAGAAAATGAAGTAGATGTGTCTGTAAGCTCAGTCTCTCTCATACATGAACTAATTGTATTTAAATTCGATTGCTAATTAGTAGATCAAAATATTTTATTAATTTGTTTATAATTAATATCTTGGACTCCACCCATAAAATTAATTTAAATAACTTATTTAATTTTTTCATAATATGGTTTATATTACATATTTTACAAAAATTATATTTAAAGCCGTTGTTGAGCATTGTTTCAATTTATGGTATAACTGCTTGGCTGTAAAGTGTGGCAGTGTTTATCATTGTGGCTCTTTTTTCGATAATAACATCACTAAGACTGTCATAATGGTTGGTTATTTGATTTACTACATTTGTACCCAATGCATTGAATGTAATACCGACCAATAAATAATGAATCGATCACTATTTGAATCCTTTAAACAAATGGTTCGAAGTTAGATAATGAACTTTTATACTTGAAAAAATTAGTTGAGAAGGGTTAAAAGAGAATCCATATTATTTATTCACACAAGTTTTTCAACAAAGATTATTAAACAAACAGATGTTATAAGCGGTCGACAAACATAAACCTTTGTGAAAAATGTGATACAACACTCGTGAGAAAAAATATACGAAAAAAAATATATATAAAAATTGAAAGTGTGGAGAATCAAATGTAGTTGATTAGAAAAGTGAAGAGTGATTATATTTTAAGTGAGAGAACACACATGCTTATTATATTAAGATCTTGTGTGAGTATGATGTGTTTTTCACAAGGTGTATTGCTCATAAAGGAAAATCCCAATGTAAAAGCGTTCTATGTGTTGATCCCTTAAAAATTGATGAGCAAACAGTGGTATAATGTTGGTTCGATGAAGGACCAATTCGCTTGTATCGAAAGTCCTACCCACATCTACCCACAACCATGTGGGTAGGAGGCATGTTCCGTTGAAAAAATGTCAACGGGTATAAATTGTATGTAGATGAAAAAGTTTATGTTTAAGGGTGAGCATTGTGGATAAATTCACACTTGAAAGAGAGTGTTGAGAAAAAATAAGTGTAAGTTGAAAGTATTGAGAATCAAGTGTGAGGTATAAGTCTCACATTGCTTTAAAAAGTGAAGATTGAGCATTTTATAAGTGAGAGAACACACACTATAACTACGTAGCTTTGAATTTCTCATTGCACCATAGGATAAGTGTTACACTGGATTTTCGACTTGATTATAAATGGCGAGTACTCATGAGACTAGCCATAGATATGCCACGTGAAATATAAAAAAGAGAGTGAGTCAATGATCAATAAGACTCAAGGTTGGATAGCGTGATCAATAAGACTCAAGGATGGCATGGTCGAAGGACGTAGTGAAAAACTTAGGGACTTAGTGAAATTGAATATTATGTTATGTTGGCTAAGGTTGGAATTTATCACTACAATGGAAGTAATATCGACTCAGCCACCAGACGTGGAGTCCATCACTATAATGGAAATAATGTAGAATTGGATGCTACATGTGGATTTCATCACTACAATAGACAATCTGATGGAGCATGCTAACTTGACATGGTCGATGTCGAAGGCCTCGACGGAGATAGCTAGTTTTTGGCGCCGAGTAAAGCAGTTAATAAATTCAAATGGTATTACAAGGCAGGAACTACGCCAGCGTCGACAGTTACTTAGAAAACGTGGGAACACGTCGGGGAAACCGTCATATGAACTTAGACAGTTGTTTTATAGTAGTATATCAGGATACTTAGGTTCATTTTGTAAGGGGTCCGCAATTGTACACATTTCTGTAATACTCAGAGTACCTGCAGTGTGAGAAAGGAGTGAATAAAGATATACGTATGCGTTCCACCGTTTTATACATTTTCAGCAATCTTACTTTAAAAGTCTTTCTTTTATGCATTAGAGTTTTCAACTCCTTTTACTTTTCATGTCATTTTATATTACCCGCACTTTGATCTCAACCTTTTTCTTTTCCTGCACTTTACCCCTTCGAGTTCAAAGTATTTTTCCTTTACTTTACTTGCATTTTGTTTACAGTTTCTTCGTTCTTTGATTGTTTTTCTTATTCACAAGTAACCACAACAAGCATCTTTTCAAAACATTTTCAAGAAGTTTACTTTAACTTCAACAAGTTTTATGATTTTCACGAGTAATACATACACAAACATGTCTGGGAGATTTTCGAGTTTGATACCTTAAGTATTAATAGAAACTTGTATTTGTTTACCAAATTTCTCAGTAAACAAATTGGCACACCCGGTAGGACTGGTTTGTGTGTTTCTTTTATGTATTCGTGTTAAAAATTCATAACTTGTTACATGTGTTTTCTTCAACTTTTCATTTTGTGTGCGAGTGTGCATGACATTAAGGTGTGGTAAAATAACAAAGAGAGAAGTGAGGAAACTTGTTAAAAGATACCTTAGAAGAATGGTAAATCCTATAAATAATAATGGAGACTAACCTTCTAATAATGTTGGGACGGGAACAATTTCTGCAACAGTTACTGAACCTATTCCTTCAACCGTAGTGCGGCGGCAATGCCATTCACAACGGTAGCATCAATGATTCCGTTTGGGGGGGGACAATTTTGTCCCTAGTTGCCCAGAGCCATCTAATGACTCCTAGACCAAATGTGGCAATGGATTTTAGATCTTTTGCCATAAATTTCACATTGCCAATTCTAGTGTGTGAATAATCCTTTGGAATGCCAACAACAGTTATGAAAAGTTTACAGAATAACCCTTCGACATTTGTAGATAATGTTGCAAATATGTTGTCACCCATTATGGCGCCTGGTTCAGCCATAAGCAACCATGATCGAAATATGCTACCCCATATGGGGATGGGATTTGGCTCCCAAGTAATGCCTGCAACAACAACAAATTCTGTCATGGCAATAAGACAACAGATGGAAGAGAGTAACCATGATATGAAAAGCACTCTAACACAACAAATGGGTACAATATTTAACCTATTGATTCAAAATACGAATCAGAGTTACCAGCAATTGGGACTTAGATGGTGAGGATTGCTATTTTTTTGGTGCTCCCCTAGTGCAAGTTCGACTAGCTGCATAGCTCTAGGTTGTTGTAAAAGTTCGAAACGAGGGAGTAGTTTAGAAGAAACTGTGAACCAAGGACAACAAGGAAATCCCTAACAGATCGAACATGAAGTACATGTTGGGGAAGGTAATCCACTTGTGGTAGTGGTTAATCGAAACCAGGATGCTGAGCAAGTTTTCCACCAAGTTCGACAAGGAAATTTATTAGGAGAAAATAACTTAACAACCATTGTTGAGAGAATAATGACTCAAAATGGAGTTAATATGGGCTTATAAAGACCAAATTATAGATCTCCTTTGTCAAAATATGTGTTACAGACTGAATTGCCAAAGGCATGAAAAGTCCCTAAGTTTACAAAATTCGCTGGTGATACCAATGAATCTACTGCCGAACACATTACTCGTTACCTGACTGAAGCAGGTGACATTGCAAACAATTAGAACTTGAGAATGAGATATTTCCCTAGTTCTCTAACAAAAAATGTTTTCTCATGGTTTACTACCCTATCTCCTCATTCAATCCATGATTGGACACATTTAGAGAGGTTGTTTCATGAGCAGTTTTACATGGGACAGTCTAAGATTAGTTTGAAAGAATTGTCGAGTGTTAGGCAAAAGTTCGTTGAATCAATTGACAATTACTTAAATAGATTTCGGTTATTAAAAACAAAGTGTTTCACTCAGGTGTCTGAACATGAGCATGTCGAAATGGTTGTTGGTGGGTTAGACTATTCCATTAGGAAAAAGCTAGGCACTCAATATCTAAGAGATATGGCCTAATTAGTATATATAGTTAGACAAGTCGAGAGGTTAAAGGCCAAAAAGGCCAGGACGAGTAAGGGTAAAAAAGATTGTATAGCCTACGTCGACATGCAAGACTAAGACATACTATATGAGGTTAAATATGATCATGTGAGGAGTCTGAGGTCGACGTGGCTGAGTTAAAGCCAGGTCCCCTATATGTGTGTAAGTTGCTTACACCTGTAAATGTGAAGAATCATTTGGAAACCACGGAAAACGATAAGTTTCCTAAGAAAACCTACACCTTCTATGTAACCAAATGCGATGAGATTTTCGATTTGCTGGTTTCATACGGTCAAGTGCTTGTGCCTCCAGGGGAAAAAGTGGCACCATTAGAACAAAGAAAGAAACAAGGGTTTTGTAAATATCATAATTTCTTAGAACATAAAACTTCACAATGTTTTCTTTTCAGGGATCAGGTGCAGAATGCTTTGAACGAAGGTAGACTCAAATTTACTAAAAGGCAGACCCGTATGAAGATTGATGCTGACCCATTGCAAATTGGAGATGCCAATTATGTAGATCTTACTGTAGTCAACATGGTTGAAATCACTGAAGATTTTGACACAGCTGAATTTGAAAGTGAGAATCAAATTGAAATTGTGTTTCTGAAAGTTGGCGAGAATATTGTGGAGTTCCTTTAGTAGCGATGTGTTCAACAAAAAACCTGCTAAAATGTTCGAAAGTGCTCAGAAGGCCAAAGAAGCTAAGAAGTTCAGGCCTCATTATTATTTCAACAAAAAAGGAGTGCCACAGAGGAAGGAACGTACGCCTAGTTCTCAGAAAGCTAGGCCAAATACTTACAAGCCTTCAGCAAATGCTCCCCATGGGGAATGGACCAAGCCTATTGAAATAGAGCATGATAGGAACCCAAAATGGAGGAATTTTGAGATTGGTCAAGGATATTCCATGACCTACAGGGAGAATTTCCATATGTATGAAAGGCGGTCTTATGGGCCCATTGCCAACTACAAAGGGAAAAACCCCATCAAAAGAACACAGTGGCAAAGATGTCAGAGGA